AAACAGCCGAAGTCGGAACTCGGAAGTGTGACTGAACAGGAGTCGCAGGAATTTCATCCACAGCCACGACTCTGTGTTTATTTTCGTGTCATTCTTCCTCTGGAATTTTACTCGAAATGATGTAGTTTTTGTCCAGGGACTTTAGAAGTTCGGAAACCCCGTGTGGGAAGAGAGGTAAAGTTCCGACCTTTAGCCTTACCGGATTATGCTGCTGTTGTTTGTTTTATTTTTCCCTTTTAGAATTATCACCTGGGATTAGATTGAGGTGTTCTGCCTTTGGTGGGCTCAAGATTAGTTCAGTATGGATTCAATTTTGGAATGGATAGCTGTGTGATGAAATGTTAATGTGCAGCGAGACCCATTACTTTTTTCCTTGTCAATATTTTGTGCATTAACTATTTCTGTTTAACCTTCGGAATTTGGTCTTATATCTGTTAGATACCTTTTCATTTAATCGATTTTTTTAACCAATACAAGTATAGTGAATTGTTTGGTTAGGACTTTTATGTTTCTGGGGTTGATGAGTATTCATTGACAAATGTTTACTTTCTGGTCTTTTATGTTTCTGGGGTTTAGTTTCATGTTTCTGGGGATGATGAGTATTCATTGACAAATGGATGGTGCATATTCATTTCTGAAAATGCTTGCTTATTTACTTTTATGATAGTTTTCTTTTCATTTCCAGAGTAATTTCCAGAGGTTTGGATCTATTACCTGTCCAAGCATTGCTGCCTTTCTGAGAATTGCGGATACGTTTACTTATTTCGATTTGAAGCATTGATGTTGGGTGTTGTGGAGCTCCAAAAATGGCGGACGAAAGTCCTAGGATTGACACTTCTACTGATGCTGAAACAGAAGATAAGAATTTGAGGGTAATATGTGAATTGATATGATATGCTTAAATTCCTATTGCTTGTTTATGGGGTGAGTTGTCTGTCTGAACTATATGCAATATAGTTTTCCTTTTCTAATTTTGGCAAGTTATGATAAATTTAACTTGGAATGTAGATGCCTGCTTTTCATTTGTGAATAATTGCTCAATGTCTCTTTTTATTAGAAGATGGAAATCTTGTGGTTTGTTTTTCGGCATAGTGATAATGTCTATTTCTTATGTAGTTTCAAGACAATCTATTGCAGGATATGGTAGTTACAACTCAAGCAATAAAAAGTTTTATAGACCCTGTTCCCTTTTATTTCTGTTCTGTTAGTATGATTGTGGATGTGGGTATATCATTAGGGAAAATCTAGGTGGGTGGAGAGTGTTGCCTTCTGGAATGGCCTTTATTTTGTCCTTGCATTTGTTCCAAATATTTATGCTTTGATTTGTACCGCTTTCATGCAATACACGGCCTTGCTTAAACACCAGTAACAATGTTGGCAGGTTGCAGGATTATAACATTTCAAATCATGTCAAGATTGCCCCACAGATTATCAACCAAGTTGTTAAATATATCTATAGCTTCCCTTTGTAGATCCAAGCAAATGGATAAAGCAGAAACTGTTCTGGTAGATAGTATTAGAATAGGAGTATTGCCTGATGTTGTTACCTACAACACTCTGATAACTGGGTATTGTGAAGTTTCTGGTTTTGACAAAGGCTATTCTGTCATTCACAGAATGAATGAGGCTGGCATAGCTCCAGATTTGATTACCTATTATTCTTTGATGGCTAGTGCCTCCAGGCAGCACTTGTTACATTGCTGTCATGATATGCTTGAAGAGATGCTTGATGTTGGGATTACTCCTGATTTATGGAGTTATAACACCTTGATGTACTGCTATTTTAAGTTGGGAAAGCCAAATGAGGGATACCGAATTTTCCATGACATCATCTGTCAAAAGAACTTAGTTCCTTGTCAAGCCACGGGCAATATCTTGATTTGGGGACTTTGCAATTATGGGTTCGCTTATCATGCTCTAGTGTTATTTATTTGAAGAGCCATGGATACGTTCCTGGGATACGGACATATAACATTCTTCTCTCTGGTTTATGCAAGTCTAACAAGTGGAGGACAACAATGAATCTCTTTCGGGAGCTTAAGGAATTTGGTCTTCGCCCTAACGCCTGGACGTATACTACAGTTATGAAGTGTTGTTTTAAAGGTAAACACTTCGAAGATGGACTTGAAGTTTTTACAGAGATGAAAAGGAATGGATATGCATACGATCTATTTTCCTACTGCACAGTTGTTGGCGCTTTGTTGAAGTTAGGCAGGAGGCAAGACACTTATAGCTGTATTGCACAAATGGTCAAGATTGGGTATGATCGGGACATTGTATCATGCAACACTATATTGTACTGGCATGTCTGGGAGGGAAGGCTAGAGAATGCCTATAGTTTGTTGAATTTGGCAGCAGAGAGGGGACTGAACTTTGATGCTTATACTCATACCATGTTGATTAATGGATTATGCAAAGCTGGAGATTTTGATGGCGCCCGGAGGCATCTAAACCATATGAATAAGATGGGCTACAATTGCTTAGTTGCTTCTAATTGTTTTATTGATGGCCTGTGTAAATTCGGGCATTTAGATTACGCACTGAAAGTTTTCAACTCAATGGATGTAAAGGATTCTTGTACATACTCCTCCCTGATACACACCCTTTGCAGGAAGCAGAGGTGCCGTCAGGCTGGCGAACTCTTGCTATCCTGCATTGAAGCTGGCATGGAAGTACTAAGATCAGACCAGAAGGCAGTTTATAATGCTTTTTGTAGTACATTCTCCAAAAGCGTTGCTAGGATATTTATGCTAAAACTTCGAATAACCAAGTTGCTGCACAATTGAACTGCCATTTCAGTCTATGGTTTATGGTAGTAACTTGGCTGGTTAAGTGTTCGGAAAAGAATGAGGATGTTTTCAGAGCAAAGACAAGAGCTCAGAAGGGTATTAGGATGATTTTTCTTACACCATACTTTGACTTATAATGAATTCTTGATGTTTTTTTTGGAGTTTACATGGAGGCGCCATCTTGACTGAACTGCTGTTAGGCACTGCCGCAAATGACTCAAATATAAAGCTGATGTCTTCAATTTTCAGTCCTGGAGTCTCACTCGGGAACGGAATGTATTGGTCTTTCTCCCCAACACATCTGCTTATGTACATTGCATCACTTTATTTACAGTAATCTGAATATTGTACTGTGTTTCATTGACAGTAGAAGCTAGCAGCTGCACTTCAATGCTTTGAAAATGTTTAAGATAAATTGAGCTTCCGTCTTTCTGATCCCTGTAAAGAAATACATCCAATCGTGTCATAAAGTGATAATGACCCCATTCTTGAGCTGCTAAAGTAACATTGTATTCAGTAAAGGTATATAGGTATGACATGTTTTTAGTGCCATTGCATTTGGCAAGTATGTAGGTGCCACATGCAGTTTGGCTTATAGAGGAAGTGGTACTTGTTGGAACTTGGAAGAGACATTAGGCTTTATGTCTGTTTGATTCCTTCTTAACAACAGGAGCATCCTTGGATTGCTACCTGAATTAATAAGAATATGCTCCAAAAATAGGGGACTGAAGTCCTAGGACTGACACTTGTACTGATGCTGACACAGAAGTTAGATAAGAATTTGAGGGGAACAGTTGAATTGATAGAATATGCTTAAATTCTTTTTACTTCATCAGGTGTGTGTTTGTCTGTCTGAAATATTTGCAACATAGTTTTCCTTGTTCTAAGTTCTAACAGATCCTCTTAGGGACAAGAAGCTATGCAGGGCAGCATGAGATGATGTTCAGCAATGCCTCTCAGCCACAGATCCAAGAGAAAGCAACGCAGAGGGGCCACAACAACACAGGCATGAAACAAGAAAACAATCCATCAGGGCACCAAAAATGACCTGCTACAGAACAAGATACAGCGGACAAAAAGAAGACAACGAGGTTGTCTGCAGCCAGTACGCAGCAATAGCGATTACAGTCACGGTGCCAACAGGAAGAATGGAGGTGTGAAACAGTAAGTTGCTCCAGAAGCAAAGATCAACCTCAATTGAACAAAACTCAGCAAGACACAAAAACTCGAGAAGCATCCAAAAGCAAGCAAAACAAAGTTGAGAAGATCTAGCAGGGAAATAGTTTTGTTTGATTACATGATGTCCATTTGATTTAATGGATTGATAACAAAGCGGCAGGGGATTAAGAGTGAAAAAAAAAGGTCTGACAATATAATATGGAACTCATGGATTTGATTACCTCATAAATCAAAAACAACAAATAGCCTCTTTTTTTTTTCCCTTTTTTTTTTTTTGGAAACAAAAACAACAAATAGCTAATTTAACTTAATTCAAAATTTATTATTTAATAATAATTACATGGGTGATACTAATTTGTTCATGTATACATGTGTTCACCTAAATTCTCAATTAGTATCATCAACCTGAAACTTTTGCTCTTCACATTGTAAACTGCAAATCAGCCATTGTCATGTATAATGAAAATCTTCCCATTCTCTCCCCATACACAAAGGGTTCCAAAACAGATATATATTACATCATTAATCCCAAAATCAATACTCACTTCATTCCATGGCTCCCTCACATCGTATTCCTTCAAAATCCAAACATCAACTCCGTTCCTTTGATTGGAAGTTAGACAAAGGCATGATCTAGTGCACTGAGTTGCAATCTGTGATCTATAGGTGAAGTGTAGCATCATTCCAGGTTCTTATCCTTAAAAAAAAGATAAGATGCCCATTCTTTATGCTATATAATTACTGTATATGGAACTTGAACTTAAGTGGAACATGGATTTGGAATAAGGGTCAGGATTTTGGTTAATGGGTAAGGAGGTTGTAATGATGAGTGCATGGGACCATGCATTGGAAAGGGATAAGAATAAAGATGGAGGATGCATTATAACAGAATGAGAAACTGTCCTTCGGATATGGTCTCAACATTGTAAACAGCAAACCAACCACCTTTATCTAGAAAGAGAATCTCCCCCATACACAAGGGCATCCATTTCGGATATGGTCTCACCTGGTATGGAAAAAATTTAATACTCATTTTATTCCAAGACTCTCTCTCTCACATTGTACTCCTTCAAAATCCAAACATCGATCAACTCTATCCATTTGATTGCAAGCTAGACAAAGGTTCCCCTCAAGTTCAACTAGACCAGAGAAATTAAATGCTTTTCTTGTAATCAAGTAAGGCTGGCAATGGCAATGACATGTTTCCCAACACCTCAAGCCCTAAATCAAAAGTTATAATAATTTCCCAATTATATTTGCATCCGACTCTTTAGCCCATGAAGCTTCCCATTTACAGATGCTCCTCCTTCAAAATCAATATTTACAAAGTCCATGTACTGTAAAAAAATCTAGAGGGTTCCCATCCAGTTCCAAGGTCTTCCAAGAATTACTCGTTAAGCTATAAAGTCTTCCAAAAGTCATCCTTTATAATAACAAAAAGCTTGTAATCATGATTCTTCTCATCGAAACCAAACCCCCAAACTTCAGCAAATAGCATCTTATCATCATCATCATCATCATCAAGTCTCGGCAATGTTTTTTGAAACACGAGTAGAAGGATTCCACAAGAAAAGTTCTTTCCAATTAATCATAATGCAGGCCAGCCCCATTACAGCAACCTACAACGCCTCTTGTTCAAGATTGGGATCTTCCCCTATTGGGCAAGGATTGACAATACTGGAGTTGTTTGTGAAGCAAGACAATGGAGAGTGTCAATACAGGAAAATGTTAAAGTGAGGACCCCCATAAGATTCAGAATCTGAATCAGTTACAGAATCTAAACGAGGTACGAGGATGTGGGTGATGATGGTGTAGCGGGCAAGAGGTGGCTTCTTTCTCCATATCCACACAATCTTGTGCTGCGAATCAAAGAACAGAATGACTTGGAAACACACATGAATCTCATGAGGGATTTAACTGGAAGCATGCTCAAGATTTCTTCCACAACATCCATTGGAAGACAAGGAGTTTCCTCCTCCTCCTCCTTCGAAACTTCTGCAGGCCTTGACATGATTCTAAATTTTCTCTTTGACTAGGAGGTAGGTATGTAACTATGTACTATAAGTTTTCATGTGTGTGTGTGTGTGTGTGTGTGTGTGTGTGTATATATATATATAGGGAAGTGTTTTTTTGGAAAGTAAAATCTATACATCTATACAGTATATGAAAAGCTCGAAACTTTACAAGTTTAAAATATTCTTAATTAATTCATAATTTTTACGGCCAACCCTAGTACCAATGCATGTATTTTAATTTTTAAGGTTTACTCTTAAATTATAAAATTTTAATTAAAATATATAGTTTAATTTTGAAATTCATTAACTTCTTCTTATATTATATTATATTATATTATTAATTAATTCATTAATTAAAATATATAGATTATGCTTTTAGTAACACAACTTTAATTTTTTTTTTAATTAACTTGTATTTTTAACATAATTTCATCTAATAGTATATTTAGTTCTAATTTTAAGTTTTCCTTAATTTCTATTCTATGTCATATTTGTAATCTATATGGTTGAGCTTTTAAATTCCTTATTATAAGAGTTTAAAAGCTCTTTGGGAGGTTAAAAACTCCATAAATTTATTTAGTTGGAGTGATTAACTTTGGAGTTTATAAGAAGCTTATGTTAGAATATATTGTATATATGGATAGCATATATTAGTATGTTAGAATATATTGTATATATGGTTATAATATATTTTGTCTATATCTTGTAGGATTAGATTTAGGCTCATTATGTTCCTATATATATGTGTACATGTCTTTTGAATAATACACAACATATTTTTCTCAAATTCTCACATGGTATCAGAGCCAGGTTTATAGTCCAATATAAGGTTAGTATTTTTCGCTCGTCTCCGGCCGTCTTCTATTCTCACCTCCCAGACCATCCTCTCCGGCATCTTTCGGCGAGCCGTCGGTCAAAATTTGGGCCCGTTCGGAGGCGCGTGAGACCCACACTCGCCGGAACAGTGAGACAGTGCTGGCAGCTTCAGCCGGAGCGTGAGATTCACCCCCAGCTCCGGTCGCCGTGATTTTTCAGCCGTCGACTCCTCTCATCGGCGGCTACGTCCTGGTGTGGTCGGTTTTTGTTTTCGTGCCGTTTTTAATTTCGGCCTTTTACTGCTATTTTATCCGGTTTGTTTTTCGGATTTGCCGTTTGCCGCCACCTTTCAGCCGCCGACTCTTGTCGACGTCGGCTACCTTGTGGTGTGCTCGGATTTTCCGTTTGCCGCCACCTTTCAGCCGCCGACTCTTGTCGACGTCGGCTACCTTGTGGTGTGCTCGGATTTGCCGTTTGCCGCCGCCTTTCAGCTGCCGACTCTTGTCGACGTCG